TGCCGCGGTGCAGCCGCGGGTCCGGCCCCAATGCGAAGTGCGAGGCCTTGAGAAAGTCCATCCGGGACGCCGGGCACGGCAGGAGGACGCTCGCGGGCATCGCGGGTACAGCGCCACCTGCGCGAGGGACGAAGCTGCCTTGCGCTCCTTTCCACGCGCCGGGCACTACGCTGGGAACGGGAACGGGCACGGGAACAGGCCCCGCGCTGGGCCCCGGGGAAGTAAAGAGAGAAACCAGCACGCGTTTGGCGTCTGCTGTGTGCCAGGCACCGTCGTGGGCCTGGGGGCGGAACGTCTGTGGCCCAGATAGACCCGGAACCCTGCCCTTTTGTAGCTGATGACGGGGCTGGAGCTGTGCGCCATGCTGAGCGCCTGCCTAGCACGCGCGTGGCCCGGGGTTCCCGCCCAGCTCTGTGAAATAGAGAGTTGGAAAGGCGCAGGCGGCCGGATGCTCCAAGCCCGGGTGAGAACCTCAGCTCTTTTGTAATGAGGTGGGAGCCACGATACGGTTCAAAGCAGAGAAAGGACGAGCTATTATACAACAGTCCATCCACAGCCAGTACTTCTTTTTTGAGAGGGGGTCTCGCTTTGTAGTAATTCAGGCTACCCTTGAACTCACTATGGAGCCCAGCCGAAGTGACCCTCCTGCCTCAGCCTCCTGAGTGCTGGGATGGCAGGTGTGCCACCGCGCCCTACCGCACAATCTCATTTCCACAGTACTTACTGCGCCTTCTGCCCCGTGTTTTGCTTGGCCTCACACACCCTAGGCAAGTGCTCTACCCTTGAGCTACCTCCCCAGCCCCTGCCCGTTTTTTTAAGACTGTGTTTTGCTAAGGCTAGGTTGTCCTCAAACTTGAGATACTCCTGCCTCAGCCTCCTGAATTGCTGGGATAAGTGTGCACCACCACACCTGTTTGGCTTTTTTTTTTCTTGTTGTTGATCATTTTGCATCCTGAAATCTTTGAGAATCGAGAAGATTCCAAACTGTTTGTAGGAGAATCTGACAGCTAAGGTTATTAACCAAGTAATCCATTCCTGCAATCCCTGGTTTCCTCCTCCACCGGGACAAGGACAGAGACCTACCTTTGAGGTGGTGTGAACACTAAGGCGTGCTGGGCTGGGGGGTTAGCTGGGCCCTCGGACTTCCTGTCCCCGACCTCCCAGGGCACAGTCACACAGCTGCCTGCCAGCGAGGTCCGGCCCTGCACAGCTCTTCACTTCCCTGAACGATGGTGTCACAATGGTTCGGTCTGGGAATTTTGGAATGCTGCCTCCCGAGGGTTCCATCGGCGGTGTAGACTTTGGCAAGCAGCAGGAAGAATGTGATCAAGTAATCTAGTTTGCTGCTTTTCCAAAGTCTGCCTGTGCCTCTGCCCCTGCCTCCCCACACTGCCTAAATGGGCTTGGCCGGTCTTCCCAAGTCCCTGCACCCCTTAATATCATTCAGAAGCTTTAAAAAGCTGGGCATCATGGTGCACGCCTGTAATCCTGGCATTCAGGAGGCTGAGGCAGGAGGATCCCTGGAAGTTCGAGGTCAGCCTGGGCTACATCATGGGACGCTGACTCAAAAAACAACAGCTGGGGATTTAGCTTAGTGATGCTGCTGCCTGCCTGGCAAATGCAAGGTCCTGAGTTCGATCGCCGGTACCCAAAACAAACAACAACAAACATTTTTATTTATTTTGTTGTTTTTAAAAATTGAGTTTATTGGTACAATCTAGGTATACAGTACAGTTACATTCATCATTGGGATTCTGTACCTTTACATGACAGGTCTTGGTTCTCATTTTTTCCCCTTGTCCCTGCCCTCCCTTCACCCCCTCCTCTCCTCCCCATTTACAAACACTTTATTTCCATTTTTTCAGTTTCTCATATTTTTTCCTCTCCCTTATTCCCTTTCCCCCACCCTTCCCACTTTCCCTACACCTTTAGCCCTTTACTTCCTATTTCATATTAATTATCTCATTAGGATCCTGTGTACTATTATAGTTTTTCACACCAAAAAACCTATTTGGTATTTCAGTTAAAGAAATCTCTGTATGAACATTAAAAATAGGGAACCCTAAAATAAAACTAAAAAGGAAAGTAAAAGAGAAAAGGCAATGATGTAACATCAAAATAATCCTTAATTCTGGAGATGAAAATGGTCCCAGAACATATTTAAATTGCTTCTTGCTCTTATAGTCTTATTCTTTTTTCATTATTTAGAGAATACTTTATTAGTTTCTGTAATCAAACCCACATAGATATGACCTTACATATTTAGTACGATGTGTTATCCTTGTACACATGGAAAAAAATAAAAATAAATGAACATTTCTAGACCAATATGGCTGTCCATTTCTGTACAATGCCAACTCAACACAGTAAATTGGGATGACTTTTTCCAAAGTTGGCAGCACTGTTAAAGTTTCCCAAAATTCAATTTATATATATATGTATATGTATATATATTTATATTTATATAAAAAGACTAATAATAGTATGTTATACATCGATAGCAGCAACAGCTTTTCCAGGTTCTGCAGTCTTCTGAGCAAAATTATAGACATTCAGCGCATTCCATTAAAAAAACCAAACCAAAACAACAACAACAACAACAACAAAAACAAAACAAAGAAAAGAGTAATATCCAGAAAACAGCAAAGTTCTGTTGCTGTTGTAGTACCTGGCACCATTTTTTTTATTAGCATCTTAATCATCATCTGGAAAGAGAACATTCTAGAGTAATATCATTAAATGTAGCTCTGATAAAGCACAGTCCTACTATGTATCATAAAGCAGATATAAGATACTTTACATTCATAGAGGTATGATACAGTACCATCCTACATCAATAATACTAGAATCAGTTTTGGTTTGAAATTTACTTTGTCTGCAAATAAGATTGCTACCCCTGTTTTTTTCTGGGCTCCTGTCACATGGACAATTGTTTTCTATCTTTTCACTTTCAGTCTATAGGCTTCTTTTTGCTCTAGGTGTGTTTCCTGTATACAACATATTGTTGGATTTTGCTTCTTATTCCATTTTGCCCATCTGTTTCTCTTGATTGGTGAGTGAGGCCATTGACATTGATGGTTATAACTGATAGTTACTGACTTATTATTGACACGTTATTGGCCTTTTGTTGACTTTTTACTTTTTCACCTTCTCCTTTTAATTTCTTGCCATGCCTATTTGATTTGCTCTGTTGGGCCTCATGGTGTTGTTGTCTTCGTTGTCTTTTTCTAGGATCTTGTTTAGAATTCCTTGTAGTGCTGGTTCGGTATTCATGTAGTTTCTCAGGTGTTCTTTGTCGTGGAAGTGTCTTATTTCCTCATCCATTTTGAAAGAGAGTTTTGCTGGATACATTAGTCTAGGTTGGAGATTGTTCTCTTTTAGTACTTGAAATATCTCATTCCAGGCTCTCCTTGTCCCAAGGGTTTGTGTTGAAAAGTCTGCTTTGATTCTGATGGGCTTTCCTTTGTATGTGATTTGTTTCTTTTTTCTTACTGCTTGTAGTATTTTGTTCTTCTGTTGGGTTTTTGGGATCTTGATTATTATATGTCTAGGTGTAGATTTTTTTTTGATTGTAGCGAGTTGGGGTCCTATATGCCTCAGTTATCTGAATGTCAAATTCTTCCCCTCTGTTTGGGAAGTTTTCTGTCATTAATTCTGTGAACAGCTCTTTAAAATCATTTGGATTTTCTCCTGCTACTTCATGTATTCCTATGTTATGTTATTCTTCTTTGCATCATCTAGGAGTTGCTGGATCGATTTCTCATGATCTCTTACTGTTTTTAAGAGACCTCTCTTTTCATGGTCACTGACTGCAATCTTATCTTCTATATCTGAGAGCCTATCTTCGCATTCTTTTATTCTGTTGTGTAC